GAGTCCCGAGTCTCTGAATTTCTTCAGTACCTCCCTCAACCGGGTTTCTAGTTGCCTTTCGTTTTTCGCGGCCACCAAGACGTCGTCAAAGTAGGGCACCACCCCCTCTATGCCCTGGAGGAGTCTTTCCATGAGGCTTTGGAAGACCCCGGGTGCCACGCTGACTCCGAACTGGAGCCGGTTGCAACGGAAAGCCCCCCGGTGCATTACGATGGTCTGGGCTTCGGCGGTTTCGGCGTCGACCGGCAGTTGCTGATAGGCTTGTGCCAGGTCGAGCTTTGCGAAGACCCGGCCTCCCCCCAGTGAGTGCAGGAGGTGTTACACAACTGGGACGGGGTATGCGCTTTGCTGGAGCGCGTGGTTTAGGGTGGCCTTATAGTCCCCACAAATTCTTACGGACCCATCTGGCTTGATGGGGGTGACTATGGGGGTCTCCCACCTGGCATGGTCGATTGGCTCCAGTACCCCTTGCGCGATGAGCTTATCTAGCTGCTCATCGATCTTGGGCTTGAGGGCAAATGGCACTTGTCTGGGCTTAAGGCGGATCGGTGCGATGGTCGGGTCAATATTGAAAGATATGGGGGACCCCCGGTACTTGCCTAGGCTGTCGTCGAAAACTTCCCGGAAGTCCTCTACGAGCGCCGCTTCCCAGTCCAACTCTGCGATGTGGTGGATTCCGGTTACTTCAATGCCTAGGGGTGCGAACCATTGTAGCCCCAGCAGGCTCGGCCGATCCCGGTTGACGATGGTCAGGGGCAGCACCTCGGTGTGGTTCTTAAAGGTGACTTTGAAATGGCCTCTGCCGACTACAGGGATGCGGTTTCCCTGGTAGTCCTTGAGGGTTAGTGTTTGGTCTTCCAGTGTGCCACGAGACCATGGAGAGGAAGGACCCGGAGTCCACCTCCATGTTGCATGGCTGGTCTTCTATCCCCACTGTCACGTATACTTTTCTTGCGTCGCTTGTGGATGAATGGCCGACGACGATGGTCTGGTGTGTTTCCTCCCTCTGTCTTGCCTCGTTTAGTCGCCTGTTCCGACCCTCTTGGCTCCAACGGCTCTCAGGCTGGCGGTCTCGGTATCTGGTGGGGGTGTTCTGCCGTCTCGTCGCCTCGGGCTGTAGTGCTTCTTGTTTCTGCACACCTTGGCGATGTGCCCTCGTTTCTCGCACTGCCGGCAAACGGCATCGAGGAACCGGCAATCTGAACGGGGGTGATCGCCTCCGCAGCCGGCGCACTGGAACCTCGACTTACGACCCCGGGCTTCCCGTCGCTCTCGGGCTGTTTGCAGGCGGTGGATTTCCTCCTCCTCGTCTTCGGTGTCTGAGAAGGAGTCAATGTCGCCGTGGTGTGTGGTTGTGTCCCGGTGGTCGACCCCGGGGCGCTTCTCAGGGTTCGGTGTCGTCTTGCTCGTCGCTGTTCGTGGCGTGATGCTCGATTGCCGCATCCGAGCCGCTGATTTCCTTGCCGCCTCGGCTGCGGCTACCTCCGTGAGTGCATCGGCGAGGGAGATGTCGCCCTTTGCCATGATGCGACTCTGGAGAACGGGGTCTCGGAGTCCCAGGACGACGCAGTCTCGCAGGGCCTCGTCCAGGTCAGCGAACTCGCACAGGCCACCCAAATCTCGAAGGGCCGCTAGGAAGTCGCCAAGTCCCTCGCCCTTGCGCTGGTCCCGCCTGTAGAAATCATGCCGCCGGATGAGGATGGGCACGACAGGGGCGTAGTGGCTCCATAGCAGGGGCTCGAGGTCGCCCCACTCCATGGTCTTGACGTCCTCTGGCTTGGCCAAGGCTTTGGCCATCTTAAACACTGCCGGCCCGCAGTGTGTGAGGAATACGGCCCGTTTCTTGTGGCCGTTGGCATCCTTGAGATTGCTACTCTCGAGGAATATCTGGAACCTATCGGTGTAGGATTCCCAGTCGTCAGTAGCAGGGTTGAAGGGTGCGGGTGGTGAGTTGAGGCCGGCCATGGTGCTCGCTAGTGTGCGCCGCCTCGCCACGTGCTGTGTGGTCTCCTTTGTCTCACGATCCCACCTTCGTCGCCAGTGTTAGATCTGATGTGGATCGGGTCGAATGAGACGCGAGACCATTCTAGAGAGTTCAGCTCTTTATTTAGAATAGGAATAGTCTGGAGAATACAAGCCGCGGCAGCCCTTCATATAGGGCTGGCTTGCGGCTCGGTGGCCAATGGCAGCGCTTTGAATCTCCCGCGACTGGCACAGCCAATCGCGGTAGATCCTTAGCGCTCCAATCACGGCCGGGGTTTCGACCAATCAGGTCGCTGTCCGTCCGGACCAATCAGTTGCGAGGGTTTGGAGTATGCTAATACAGCACACACATTTTTATTTTTTCTATTTTTAATTGCTTGTATATCATATTTTTTTTCAAGGAATGTAGATGAACCATATTTTATATTACTGTCAGTTATTAATGGAGCTGTAATGGCTGAATTTGCACAAAATGCTTCATCAAGAATTGAAGATGATTATATAAATTATGCATTTATACATGTAGCTTGCTTGTACCCATTCTGTTCCTTGCTGTTAGCACCATTTTAAAAATAAATAAAATAATAATAATAATGAAAGGTTTGAATGGGATGCAATTTTATTAGAGGTCCTGATTAGTAACTTCAAAAGAGGCCAGAGTTCATGAGTGAAAAAGCCATGATTTAACATCTTAGTTTGTAAATGAGCAACGAGTCACAATCTTTGGTTTGGATGACAGGTGAGAGAAACTCTACCTGATTTAGCAAATGTGCAAGCAAGAAAGATCAAAGTAGATATATTCATAGTAAAGATACACCCAGTTTCTCAAAACATCCAGAAAACTGCATAGAAAGCAGAGACTTGAATACAGGCTATATACAATTGTATAATCTGAGTTTTAAACAGTATGCTCAAGTATTGTGATTCGGCTGGGGGAGAGAAGATATGAAGATAGCAAACATTCAAAAGGTCACAACTTTCACAATGTCTAATTTTGTTTATAGCAACTAACATTTTTAAATCAGTGTTGGCTGTCTCTACTGTGATTGAAGTGGGAGTCTGACCTATAGCCATATATAGTGGTGTTGTTTGGTTAGATTCAGCTGAAGCACTCAATAAATCAACACTGGAATTGCAGCTTAGTTTCTATACTTAAAATAAATAAAACATTGACTGCTTTGAATTATGATGGTTCTACTTGGATGAAGTCCACAAAGAGGAAATTAGATGGGACTTTATAATTTTCATTACTTTCACTGATAAATGTGGAATATTATGAGCTTAAGCTGAAAGCTCTTCCTACCAACATCCAGTATTTAGTTCAAGTAATAATCGTGAATAGATCATATTCCTAAATATATAGAAGCTTTCTTCAGCACTGATTCTGAGATGTACATGCTTTTTGATAATCAGTAATTCATTTGGCAATGTGTATTTTCAAAACAAAGAAAATAAATAATTTCATGAGTGGTTGCCTTGTAAATTTGTAAATGAGCAACACTTAACTGTGTTTAGCGCTTGTTAGCCATAAACATATTTTCTTAAAGCTTCCCAATCTTGTAAATTGTTCAAGTACTCCCAACTCCCAAACAATATGCAAAATCCTTATAAATACTGAAGAACTATTTAACAGTTTGAGAGATGAGTTATTCATTGTTGTCTTTCACTCAGAAGTTCCCCAAAACATTTATGACCAATATACAAAGATTCTCCTTCTCTTCTTCAGTCTGATTGGCCATGTTTTTAAAAACTTGTTCTACATTGACACCTAATGTAAACCTATCTTCTAATAGAATTTTATGGGGTAATATTAAATCAAATACAATTATTATAAAGTTCTATAGCAGAGGTCTCCAAACTTCGTAACTTTAAGACTTGTGGACTTCAAGCCCCAAAATTCTCCAGCCAGCATAGCTATTTTGGGAATTGATGTCCACAAGTCTTAAAGTTGCCAAGTTTGGGGACCCCTGTTCTATAGGGACCATTTTAGGGATTCTGAATGTCAAAAGCTTTCTTTCTAAACATTGGTACAAACATCCTGCAAAATCAGATTCCTTCCTTCCTTCCTTCCTTCCTTCCTTCCTTCCTTCCTTCCTTC